CAAGAGAATCAGTCACGTGGGAAGGACTGGGCGCAACAACAACTCTGACGACTGCGGGCATAATTGTCGCGCAATTATCGAACCCGTATACTACGTGGACAAGAACACTGTAGCAATTAATGAGCCATCACCGCACCAACTAAGACCTCAAGTGGTGGCTAAAGGAACTGAAAATCATAGTACGCATGCGGGTGACCGCTGCGAACTATAAATACCGTGCAATCTCTGCATGTATTACCCTTATCTGCGCATGTCTCAGACTGTTCTACTGTTACCTATGATTAAGGATTCCCGAGGAAATCCGAAACGTCAGGACAATAAACCTCTTGTTCCAGTGATCGCTTCTTCTGAACTGCTTCCTGGAACTCGCATATTCAATTCTATTGACTGCTGAATCTCCCCAGCAGCTGCGCCGGTCTCAGATCAGCAAAAACTTCGCCTATGAGGGCTTATTGTAATAAGTGAGCATGGGTCATGAAAACGCACTTAAATAATGCGTCTTTTAATTTGTCATGGGAAAGGACAAGAAGGCAGTGGAGGAGGCTTTTTCATATTTGTCAGGTAGACCACACTGTAGGTGGTCTCGTGCCGGGTTATTTCACTCACACGAAATTTGGCTTCCCAATACATTACGCGGCAAAACAAAACTGACGGACTAACGGAGACATGTGATGAGGAGGGTATGGGCGTTCGCTTCTCACCTTACAAAATTCAGCAGGTATTCGAGGAGCGACTGTTGCTGCTGAAAGAATGTTTGCTAACGTGACGCTCTTAGAAGATCAAGGTAGCCAATTTATGAACATATAAAAATATATAATCCCGTCTAGTTCGATGAGTAATTGCATAGCGCAGTGAGAGCCGATTTAGGCCCATTTTCATCGATATTTCACAGAATTACTGGCAACAGCAAGGAACCTGAGTCAGTTGCCAGTAATTCTGTGAACTTCACCACTGCTGTATGTGTCCTCGTTATTCATCGATATTGTTGCTGAGCTGTTCCCCTTCCACGTTGCTGACTCTCCTGCTCAAAGAGAGTATCAGTACGGAATATGGAAACGGCAGGTCGCTGTGGTTGTAGACTGACTGCGGGCCTGAGAAACATGACCCCAGTAGCTCGCAGCTCACGGGGTTGTCAACTCTTGCAAGAATTTCGGTGTCGTTAAATTTGAAAATATGGCTGGCTCCCATTGAGTGAGCTGCAACCACGGAGCGAACATCTGCCTTCCGCCTCACTATTGGTGCGTGCTCGGCTATTCGCGTCCGCACTAATCTTGCCTTGTCTCCGACGTAGTTGCTTTTTCCACAACTGCACCAGATCCGTTAAACGATCTATGGATCACGATCCCAAGCGATGTTAACTGGAGATGCTGATTGTAGTACGCGCACGTTCGCGTGGACTATACGTACTGGGTAACCTGTGCATTTGTCACCTTATTCTATGGTCAGGAAAATAAACTTCTAGTTCCAGCAATCACTTATTCTACTTACGCTTTAAGCTTGAATAATGCGAATATAAGTTTATGGAACTTACCATCCTGGTAGTATAGGCACTATTTAAAAGGCCACATATGTTTTGCCGATATTCTACCGTTGTATGACATGGATGGGGGTTTCAGGTTCAGATCTCGGGGTTTTGGACGCTTCAGATTGGGGGTATGATTGGCTGATGATGGTTAGCAAGCCAGAACAGGACATTGCGGTCTCCCTTTGCTTTCTAGAATCCACTTCATCCTAGCCCACTAATTGTCACGCGGCTGCCTGCGCGGGCTCTAATAGGAGCACCTTGGGGAATACGGAACTGAATTGTCCCATTGCCAGATCGGTGATACCCACATATTCATATATCAGTATTTTGCGCGATTTATCTTCCTACTGTGGATTTTTATCTAGTAACTTTGCTCAAGATGTTAAAGAGCAAAAGTTCTAGTTATGCTTTTTTGGTAGATCAAAACCTTTTTTTGCAAACGCAATTAGAAAAAGTCGAAAAGATAAATCCCTTGCTTAGATTGAAAAGACTCACAAGTTGTCCTAAACTTATAGTGCAAATGCAAGATCCAGTTACTTGTCAGTTCCTACTGGGAATTTTAATAATTTGTAATTGCCTTGACCCTGTATAGTCACGCTTTGTTCTGCCTTTTCCCATGACGCATACCTTTGTATTGATCACTATTTTCTTTGC